AGCGACACAGAAACACAAAGAATAGCATACGACGTAGACACACCAGCAGAGAAACACAAAGACAACAGAATTCATACCTTCCCGTAAAGGTGGTTCGAACTTGATTAGGCGCTTTCATGACTGCAGGAATTACTCTTTGTTTTTTTCGGTAAAGTCACGTATCCAATCCTTAACACATTCTGATACGCGAAATTATTATGCTTGAAATCGTCAGCACAGTACCACTGCGATGTTCGTTCATTGATTCATAAACGATTATGCAATTAAAGCGTTCGACTGAAATACTTCTAATTGCCTTAATCAGCGCAACTCAATGGGCCGATGTTTTTGTTATCAGCTAATAGTTGACGCATTTATCATGAGTCTTGTATGTTTTAATGGGAGTGTTGTTGATTTCTTGCGTTGAGCAAACGCCTAAGTTGATAGTCCTTGTCAAAAAAACAATGTTTGTTCATTGTGTAGCGATGGGGGAGTGAGGAGGGGGGGAGAGTGTGGGGGGAGGCCATACGAACGGCTGCCAGTTTCTGTCCACCGCTGGCTGGAATTGTCAGCACGATGCTCGCCGTCGTGCGCCGATGGGTGTTGAGTGCGGGGCCGCTGCCCTCTCAGAGCTGGTGACGCGAAGTTGCGCACTGTAGCACGCTGGTGGCACGCTGTTGGCACGCGCTGGTGCTGATGCTGGTGCTGATGGCACGCTGGTGGCGCGTGCTCCCTCTCCTTGAAGATGCGCGAACGCGCCCGTGCTGGTTCGCTGACAGCAGTTTCTCTCCACTGCTGGCTGAGCTGCTGCACGCTCTTGCTTGGTGTTGCTGGCCACGCTCTTTCTCCTTGAAGATGCGCGAACGCGCCCGTGCTGGTTCGCTGACAGCAGTTTCCTCCACTGCTGGATGAGCTGCGCACGCTCTTGCTTGGCGTTGCTGGCCGCGCTCTTTCTCCTTGAAGATGCGCGAACGCGCCCATGCTGGTTCGCTGACAGCAGTTTCCTCCAATGCTGGATGAGCTACGCCGGCGCGCGCTCTTCCCGCTGCTGTAGTATCTGACGCTGCACTCGCGGGCGACAGGTCAAGTTTTTCTTCTGCTGAGTGAGCCGAGTCGCACGCGCTCCCTTTGTTGAGGTTGTTTGTGGCTCTCTGACAGCAGGTTTCCTCCACTGCTGTATGACTCAAGTCGCACGCGCTTGGTCACTGGTTTGCTGAAGTTGTTGGCGGCTGCTCGTGCTGGCAGATACAGGCTCTTTTCCGCTGCTGGATGGCTGGCACTTGATGTAGGAATAAAGTTTTGATTGATACTTTGCCTTTCGCTCTGAACTACACTCGTTGATACATCGTGACTCAGCGATCCTCGCTACTCAGCGAGGCTCGCTCCTTGGAGCCAGTCGCTCGCTGCGACTACTCGTCTTGTGGACGTCTTGAATCGCTGATCTGTCTTGACTGACTTGACTGGAAGACTGGAAGACATTATATTCAAAAATAATTCTCTCTGCGCAGTGAAAAGGGGGGGGGGGGGCGCGTGGTCTGTGTGTGTGTGTGCGTTCGTGTGTGTGCGTTCGTGTGTGTTTGTGTGCCATCTGCCACACCCCTGGGGGGGGAGGGGGCGACCCTCTTCGTAACATCAAGCTTTCCTCACTAGGGTGTGAAATTCCTTTCTCGCGCTCTGCAGGAAATACAAAGGCGGCCGGGAGTACCTCTCTCTCTGGCTGCTTTCGGTTTAATGTTTCTCAAATACCATTTGGTCTTATGTTTACCAAGGCTCGTGTTTTGTAACTACGTCCTTCCGACGCACCTCTCGGGTTATTCCGAGGTTCGCGTTGTTACGATGGAGTTATTATTTATTTTATAATAAAGATGTTTATCCTGAGTTTAAGAGGTCCGTTTCTTGATTGTTGGAATCCATATCCCTTGGTTCTGTAAGGTTCTATAATGGAATATATTTTAAGGTTAACACGTTATTATTAATGTTACGTGTGATTTGTATTGCAATTCCTTTAACTTAAAACTTGTTCGCTGGCTGTTGTGTGTGGGTGGGGTGTGTTTTCTCATTAACCCGTCTGGCTCGCTCCAGATGGCCCCTTGTGATAAGGTGTGGTTCCTGCTTCTCCGCGCTGCGAGAGAGACAAAGGTGGTCGGAGTTGCTTGGGATATTGTTTAAACTCTTTCGTAAGTTTGCCCGTTCGCCTCATTCCTTCTCGATATCCTTTGATGTGACTCGGTATTTCTGTCTCCAAGCTTTGTTTTAACAGTAAAAGTATTAAAGGTGAAAATCATTTGATATCGAATTAATAATTGGATAAGGATTCACTGATGCATCTGGTGGCCTGGTCTTAATTGGAGTGATCGTGAGGATCGCTAATTTTAGCTTATTCTTGTTATTGCATTTTAAATTTTAACCGTTGTTTTAATGACAAAGGGAGAAAAAAAATATGGTTTAACCCGTGGGCGTCCTCGTGTCTGGCTTGCGGAGGGCTTCCCTCTGCGTGACCTCCCTTAGGGCACATCAAACACTTGTTCATCTAGAGATCTTCGCCAATAGCTGTTACATCCTCGCCTTGAGAGTTTTATTATTTCTTTATTTATTTATGGCCTGTTTATGATCTCATCTGTGTTTGCGTGTTTTTGGGTTTGTGTGTTTTATGCATTATTTCTCTTTATTGTTAAAATATATATCGGCAGATATTATTGTTAATATCAATTTTGGAAAAAGGCTTATATATCCAACAGTACCCAGCGGCAGAGTAAACAGTGGGGTGGGAGGAAAAAGCCCCAAGGAAGATAAGAGTTGACTTACGTTAAAGGGGATTATCGATGAGTCAACGGCGAGGGACGCAGGTACAGAGACAATGGGAAGGGGGGGGGGGATGACGCGACCCCCTCCCCCCCCCCAACGGCCAGAGCGCTCAAAACGGCAGAAAAGAGGATTCGATTGGATGAGCAGGATGACGTCATATGACCGGGGGGGGGGGGGGGGCGGAGGGGTTTTGGGGACATAAGGGGAGCAGGAGGGAAAATTAGATCAGAGTTCTTCTGGAGTGGGAGAGAACACCAGCCGCCCTCAGCGTCCATTCGACGCATGCAGGGTGGAGCTGAAAACGATCGTTCAGAAAATTCCCCAAGGCGAGCATCTTCCCCAGCCCCATCGGGCAGTTTAAGAGGTGAGTGGATACGGAAAAGGAAGGGCAATTCAGTCAGCTCGAGCTTAGGGGATAGACACACTTTACGTCGGGTAGGTGATAGAAGGAATGGTGCTGGCTGGAGGGGGTCATACATGGGGGTCCCTATTCGCTCCGGGAAATAAATCTTAGCACAGACTGACGTTGTGACGCGTGGTACCTGCGTGTGTGTGAAGAACGGTGGGGGCAGCGATCGGCGTACGACGGTGTGTGGGTGACTTTAATCAGTATATGCACGACGCCCGCGCACATGCAAATAAATAATTAAATAGGGGGACGCTTGACCGCGCCGCGATCGAGCGCCGTTGGCTTGTTGACACAACGGCTTAGTGGAAATCATGATTTAAACCACACACAGCGGCGAGTCAAACCATTACGTAACCCACGCGGTTAGGACACGCGAGTGGGGGTAGGCACGCGCGTAATCCACCCCTGGGCCGGCTCAGCTAGCCGCTGAGTCGGTCCGAGAGGACCCTGGTACGGGGGGGGGGGCGGTCACCCGCTCGGGGGCGCGGGGGACCCCGAAAGATAAAAACACGGAGGGGACGGGGGAGGCAAACGTCGCACCCCCCCCCCCCCGCGTGGAGGGGGGCATCAGCCCCCACCAATTAGACGTGGCGCCCCCCCCCCCGCTCATGGAGAGTGAGAGGGGGCTCAGCCCCCACGTAATGGGGAGTGGGGAGGAGGCATTTGCCCCCACAGAGGCCCGTCGCTACGCGATTAATCGTTAACAGGGTCGGTAAGAGGGGTTCTACACTAAAAAAATGTACACCACTATACACTACTATACGACTATACATTACACTACTATACACTACACATTGGGCTCTATGGAGGCTCGTGGTAAAGCGTTTAGTCGTTAACAAGGGTGGTCGTGAAGGGAGGTTCTACTGTGTAAGTTTACAGTACAATGAGCAGTATCTTTAGGACTGCAGCGCTGAGCGCAGGGTCACGGCAGCGGCATTAGCAGGGTACAGCAGCAGCAGGGTACAGCAGCAGCAGTAGGGTACAGCAGCGTACAGCAACAGCAGGGTACAGCAGCAGCAGGGTACAGCAACAGCAGGGTACAGCAGCAGCAGTAGGGTACAGCAGCAGTAAGGTACAGCAGCAGCAGTAGGGTACAGCAGCGTACAGCAGCAGCAGGGTACAGCAGCAGCAGGGTACAGCAGTAGGGTACAGCAGCAGGGTACAGCAGCAGTAAGGTACAGCAGCAGTAGGGTACAGCAGCAGTAGGGTACAGCAGCAGGGTACAGCAGCAGCAGGGTACAGCAGCGTACAGCAGCAGGGTACAGCAGCAGTAGGGTACAGTAGCAGCAGCAGGGTACAGCAGCAGGGTACAGCAGCAGGGTACAGCAGCAGGGTACAGCAGCAGTAGGGTACAGCAGCAGTAGGGTACAGCAGCAGCAGGGTACACCAGCAGTAGGGTACAGCAGCAGCAGGGTACACCAGCAGTAGGGTACAGCAGCAGCAGTAGGGTACAGCAGCAGCAGTAGGGTACAGCAGCAGCAGTAGGGTACAGCAGCAGTAGGGTACAGCAGCAGTAGGGGACAGCAGCAGTAGGGGACAGCAGCAGCAGGGACAGCAGCAGCAGGGACAGCAGCAGCAGGTTACAGCAGCGTCGCAGCCCACCCCGACTCGTCTTTGTCGCGGACCCTCGAGTTGCCGCGGGCAATTTTCGGAGGCGCTGCTGCTGATGTTGCTATGGCAACCGGGTGGGGTGGGGTGGGGGCGCGTGCGGCGCGTGGGCCGACCTCAGATAACCTCGCGCGTTCGATTCGGGGGCTTGACGTCACGGACGAATCGGGGCTAACGACGTCACGACCGATTCGGGGCTAAAACGTCACGTCCGGGGCAAGTGTGAGAGCGAGGAGGGGGTGGGGGCAGCGCGTGACCCCGTGAGGAAGACTTCGCCGACTGCGCATCCCACCGCTCCTCACACACTCCTCACGCTGCTGCTTGCTCCGGCTGCTGCTGCTGCCGCCGCCGCCACCTTAACGAGGAGGTGGGTCGTAGAGGAGGAAGTGCTGCGCTGGCAACGGTGTTAGAGCCGGGATCGCCGAGTGTCGGGGTGTTCGCGGACGCGGGGTATCCAGGGGATGATTTGTCTTCGGGGGACCGAGGTATCGGCGTGGGGAATTAGATGTGGGGGGGATCAGGAGGCGAAGTTATCAGGGGGTGGCGGTCTCCAAGGGGATGTGGAGGGGTCTCTGTAGCGTAGCTCGTCAGTGGTCGTGGTGTTTAGGTGGATGTTCCTGTGTTGAACCCATGGAGGAGCCGTGAGAGGCTGCGCTCCAGAATCTCTTGTCCCCCCCCCGACCGATCACGCGGGGAACCCTGTTTCGGTTCTGTTTGTGTGGAAGCTTCGCGTAGCGGTTGTGCGGTGTCCATCAACAACCGCAAGTCGAGTGACGCGCGGAGACACCGCGACAGTTATGGCTGCGTAACAATCGCATGAAAAAAGATCCCCCGTTATAGCCTCAACAAACTGTTGAGGCAAGTGCTGTGAGCGAGCACCTGTGAAGGCCGACACTGCACGAGGGGGCGGTGTGGCCAGACCCAAGATCCGGCCGCCTTCGTCTCCCTGGTACTGATATTTAGACAAAGCATTGGGTACTTATTTAAGGTTAAGTCGACCTAGGGGAGGCCCAGGACCGGTTCGGAATCGAACTCTGGGCTCTAGTACAGCACAAACTACTCGGCCACCGCTCCCCAGCACAACCACAAACAACAACAACAACCGCGCGCCTGGTGCCCTCCTCGGCTCAAGGCAGCACGGGGCGGCCCTCACCCGCTCGTTATATACTCGGCTCAGTGTTGGGACATCCTACGTTCCTTTGGCAGGGATCGAGTCGCTCTCAAATGGAACAGCGGCGCCGGGGTGGTGCTACCCCCCTCTTCGGTTCCCGCTGCTTTCCCGGGGGAACATTGCGGACGTTTATAGCCCCGCGTCCGTCTCGTGTCCAACTCGGCGGTGAGCGGCGCCAGAGAGGGCAGCTGAGGCCGCGAGAGTAGCCGGGTCCCCCCACCCTCCCCTGCGCGACTCCACGGCCGACGCCGGGGACACCGGCGCAGGCAGTGACCTTGATACACAGAGGCGGGAGAGGTCGGGACGTTACCGCGGTGGTGGCGAGGAGATGTCATTTCCCTCGCCTCGCCTGGCGTGCAGGCCTCGTGGGTTCGACCCCGACCGCGGATCGATGCCTGTTGTATATTTGGAGTTTGCATGATCTCTCTCCCCGTGTTGGTCGCGTGGGTTCTCACCGTTTTTTCCCCCTCCGCATTTACAAACGTACGTCTTAGATTATTTGGCTGCTCCTCAAAATTCCCACCTGATATACGATACTTCGATGAACTATCATACGCAGCCTCTGGAAAGAGCTAGCAGCTCAGAGGGCTTTACCTGGTAAAAATGAAATACTGTAGTTTAATAGACTCCACTCCCTGTTGCCACGGACTCTCTGACTGCCCTGCTCTCCCACATCGGTTGGGCTCCTCACCCACGTGTCACGTTCGGCACCCAGAATATGGGCCCCCTGAACAGTGTGGCTCGCATGGCTACGCAGCCCCGCAAGATATTTCTCAACGCCTTCTCTTCTTTCTCACGCTCCTCCACTTTTGTCCCTGGGCGGTGGCGTGAACTCAGCGGTGATGCGTTCGCTCCTTGAATTTAACTTGATTTGACTTGTTCCACGGACAATCCCATCTCGCCAGTTTCCCGGCTGTTTACATGGGAAATCTGCGCAGCGTAAGCACTGGAGATAAAAACGCGTCAAGGTTGCAGTGAATGAGTACTGGGTCCTTTAGAAATATAGTACAATGAACATTACTCTTTGGTTCTTTCGGTAATGTCACTTAGATAGAAAAATACTACATCATTAGACCTCCTTTGCCAGTACCAAAATATAATAATAGGGTTTTTCCCCTTTTTTCTGGCAACAAAACTGAAACCTTTTTTTACAAGGATTCATATCTGCATTAACCACAATACCTGCAGTCAAAATGCAAACAAAAAACACACTATAATAATATATGCATTGTCCTTGAAACTGATTGGTCCACACTAAGGGACGGCTTTCTTTTGAGCCTCGACCCAATTGGTGCTCGATACATTTATGCTTCTCCATTCTCCAATGGAGAAGCAAAATGCTCCTTCATGGAATATATAAAAGGTGACCTTTTGGCGTCATCTGGACGAGCACCAATTGGGTCGAGGCTCAAAAGAATGCCGTCCCTTGGTGTGGACCAATCAGTTTCAAGGACAATGCATATATTATCATAGTTGTTTTTTGTTTGCATTTTGACTGCAGGTATTGTGGTTAATGCAGACATGAATCCTTGTTTAAAAGGTTTCAGTTTTGTTGCCAGAAAAAAGGGGAAAAACCCTATTATTAGAAAAATACCAATTAAATAATCACGACGTTTCGATCGCAACACAAGCAATCGTCATCAGGTGGGACAATCGCAGCAAGAAAAAAACTGCTGAAGTATGCGTGAGATCTGCCGTGGCACGAGGTTATATAGCCATCGGCAGTAGGGGGGGAGAGAGAAGGGGGGGGAGAAATACTTTTTACCAAACAAAGTTTTAACAATTGGAATTGTTTATAGGGATAAGGAGGCACTTGTGAGGCTACGGGGGGGGGGGGAATTAGAGGAGCTGAGTGGCCCTTTAGGTAATAGGTCGATTTGTTGAAGAAGACCTTTCGGATGAAAATAGCACAGTGCTGGTCTCTGGATATCCATGGGAGACAGGTGACAGTGTACAAGTTGCGATTGTGAGTTCCATAGGTGGGCGGTCAAGGGCAACACGGAGAGCACAGTGGTGGTGTCGTGCAATTAGACGTTTTAAGGTAGATTCAGAAGCTAGGTGGTAGATGGTGTCACAGTAATCAGACATGGGCAGGATGGTGGCAGTACAGGGACTCCTCTACTTACGAACGAGTTAGGTTCCAGAGGTCAGTTTGTCCAACTTTACTCCTGTCCATTCCAAACATGTTGTACGGCATGTACACTAAACATGGGGAATGGTTTTAAAAATTGCATAATCTCCTATAGATGTAGATGCCACTGGTTCATTATGTTCTACAGATGTAGATGCCACCACTGTCATATATTGCGCGACAGTTGAACTTACGACTCTCGGTCCAAACAGGCAACTGCTCATACGGACAGCTTTGTTCGTATCTTTGAAAGTTCGTAGGTCGACTGTAAGTAGAGGAGTCCTTGTTTCTATTTTCGAGGTGGAATGCAGCATTTGGTTCTGTATAGTAACCCATTTAATTTGTTTTTATCTTGTTGGCCACGTGGTCAATATGGGTCTCGAAAGACAGGATCGAGTCCAGAATAACGCCTAGATACTTATAGTTGACCTGCTCAATAAGATGCGATTCCAGAGCCGCAATATGCATAGGTGGTGGGACAGGTTTAAGGCAGCCGGAGAGTATTAAGTTGAATTTGAAGATGATCAAAGTCCTGTTTTAGATACTCTTGTAACTTCCTCCATGGAGTTTATAGAGCCCATCAGGACTGTCAGCAGGACTGTCAAAGTGCAAATTGGAGATGCCTCGGTTGTTGATGTACGCTTTTTGTCAAGGTTCACAGTTTTAATCCAGCGACCACCCTGATTATTACTGAGGGTATAATTTCCAAAGAAATACTACCCGCCGCCTGCCTCACAGTGACCCATGACGTCATTTGAAGACGTCACGGGCTTAATTTGTTAATTACACGACAAAGAACGCAATTGGAATTATACACAGTGATAATCACCTCCTACTGGCAGACTACTGCCCCAGGTCAATCCTGGTCTCCTGAGTTCTCACCTCCCCTATCTCCCCCCGTCCTCTAACCCTGCCTCTCTTATTGTGTCTCTCTCCAATTCCCTGTGACTATGGGCCAGACCAACCACCGCCCGGGGTTGCCATTGCCAAGTGGCACCTGATAGCGCGGCACTGCACGGGGGGGTGGGGGGCGTCCGATTTACAGCTCGAGCTGGCAGCCGTGATAGCACGGGCTGTGGGTAAGGGCAGGGCGCAGCATGGGGACTGTGGACCTTGTGGACCCTCGGCTAGCGTGGGCCCCTCCCCCTCTCAGGTAGGCAGGCAAGCAGGCCAAAGAGCCATGTCTGCGATGTGTGTTCAGGTGTGAGTGGCACGGGGCGGACAAGGACATTGCCGGGATGACGCCGCTCGTTAGGATTCACTTCGAACTCACGGTGATGCTGCAGCGGTCAGCGCTTTCCTGTTGAACCGCATGACTGATGAGTCGGTTAAACACCAGGTTCGGCGGTGCCTTTGACACGGTCTCGTTGCTGCTGCTGCACGTTCGCAGTGGTCGGCCGCTTGACAAAGTGGAGACGTGGGGAGCAGCTTCTATTCCCCACTCTCTGTCTTTGGCTTGTCCAAACATGCACTCTTGTTCATTCTCTGGTTTTCTCTCCATAGCTGCTGCGTCGCTAAAAAAAAACCTAACATTCATGTTTCACACGTGGGAACTGACTGCTGATTTGCGATTGATAACTCATCGGGCTGCTTCTATATCCCGAGTGATTGGCAGAACGACCGATATGCGTCTCAAAATACATCCATAATTATGTTTTGAGTATTGCTGAGAGAAGAGAGCTCAATGTTCTGTTTCACTAGCCTTTTTCGGTTAGCAGATAGTACTGCACAGATAGCAGCCCTCATGAACCGCGGTGGCTGTTGCAGCTCCACGGAGAGCGTCTGTCGATCACAACATGGAGAGCTCCCTCCCTCTATCCCCGCCAGTGACCATGAACCCCTTGCTGTTGTGGGTGCTGCTGTTCGTTGTGAAATCGCCATCGTCTGTCGTGAAGCTGCTTGTCCATTGCCGTAGTGTTCACTGCTGTGGCATTTCTCTTGCTGTGAGCGCGGCGATGTGCCATTGAGACACGGGTCTCTTGCGAGGGAGGCCTGGGTCGCAGTCAATGAGGTGGAAATGCGTCCCCCCCCCTCGCATAAAATGAAATAATTGCTTCGCTTGATGTTGGCGCTATCCTTCTAATAGTGTGGGGGCAATCACCGCATAGGAAGTTGCTGCTGCTGTGTTTCACAGACACGGTCTACAGTAATGAACCTTATGGCGGGATCCCGGGGTCCCGAATGAACGGAAGTCAAAATCGTAATTAATTAATATATTTTTGGCGACTCCGTCCCACCACGCACTTCAACGCCGCGACCCATGTGGCGCGGATCATTCACCAAGCACCTGTCGTTGCCAAAATTGCCGTAGTCATAAACAAAACTTTGATTAGCGCATCGTGTAGAGCTCGTCAAAGAGGAATAAATTGCCGTATCGTTCGCCTTCAAAAGACATAAAATGACCTCGCAACGCAGTTTATGCGAGAGCCGGGGGCTTATGGGACCCCGGGGTCCCGCAATAAGGTTCATATGTCACAGGATTACAAACGCACAAGGGAAGGATTTCACGAGTCCCGTTGAGTCAACGTAGTAACGACCCTGCCAAGAGATTCGGCATAACCACTCTTCTTCCTGGGGGGGCGTTCTCATGTCCCCTCCACTGTCCTGAGCCGTTAGTGGAAATTGATAATTGCAATGGTGGGCCCGAATCTCTCTATAGGTCAACTACTGTCATTTTACATCGAAATTGAAAGCTAATTTTAAAACTGCTTTTTGTGTTTAGTTTGCTGTCCTTCCCCCGCACCTCTGATTACACGGTTGGCTACGTACGGTGCGAAATCATTTCAACATACATACATGCAGAGTGGTAGTTATTTTACTAGCCCCAGAGGATGGCAGGTTGGGGTGGATCATGGTCTGAACTCAACACCTGTGGCATAAGAGAGCCTTGTAGCGATTCATGATACTTGGACTGAATCGTGCGTATGGGAACAGCTGTTCCGTCGGGTCTGGTGTTACATGGTAATGTGATGTGCAAGTCGCTGTTAGTATTACATTGCGGCGAAAGGATCTAATGAAACCGTACAATTGAAACGGAATAAACCAATCAACCAAGACCTCAGCCGTGACGAGCTGTGAGTGACACCGGTGGTGTGGGGGCCCTGGGCTGGTAATGCATACACTCCACCGCACTGCCACACAGCACTGCCATGTGCCGCAAAGCCACACCACCACGCAACACCATTACACCGCAAAGTCACACAATTTTGCGATTGGAGAGCAAGATGCAATCATAAGTAGCCTGTGGTCTTGCATGCAGAAGGAGGCACGATGCTGTCGAGGGGCTGCCTGGCGGGCCGGGCGTGTGTGGCGGGCCGCGTGTGTGTTGCCGGCGTGCGGGGCCTGAACACCAAGGAGACGGGGCGACCCCTAATGCTCAACCCCCGTACCAACAAGGTGAACCCCCACATCATCTCTGGGTGTGACCCTTGACCTACTAACACCAACAGACATCTCACCCGCTGCTTACTCATCCTCACCACCTACTACCCCCCACCCACACCCGACCAACTCCACCGCTCCCACATCCACACGACATCACAAATCCACACACTGTACCATACACCACACACTACAATACACACACACCACCCCACTTACAATGTACCACACAGCACTGTTCACCACACTCCAACTACAGAACCACCGCACAAACCACTTCACGCTACCGTACTGCGCACCACTGCAGTGTACAGTACACCAAAAACAAATGTCTCCCGTATAGCCTGTAAGAGACTACTGGGGAAAGTGCTGTTAGTGAGCACCTATAAAGGCCGGGACAGAACACGAAGGGGTCAACGTCATGTCCGGCTGCCTTTGTCTCCCCAGTGGTGATGTGTATACACCACACCAGGTACTCATCTGAGAATGAGCTGACCTAGGTGCTGTCCACCCACCCCCTCGTGTGCCTTGCCGGCCTTCATAGGTGCTCGCTAATAGCACTTGCTCCTACAGTCTGTTTTGGCTATATGAGGGATGTTTGTCTTTTGTGTGTATGTACATGAGGGAGTGTGCATGAAGGAGCGGTTGTGTGTACGAGGGAATGTTCGTGTATGTGGCACGAGGGAGAATCTGTGTGAAGGAGGCTCGTGAAGAATGCTGCTGGGTAGTTGAAGGCAGTTGCCTTCCAACAACAGAGGAGCAACGCTCTTAACAACGAGCGGAGCGCCGGGCACTCAACTTAACAAGTTGGGAAAGTGGGGAAAATAGGTGATGCATTTGCCGGTTATCTCAGTAAACCTGTCCGCAAGCCTTCGACACTTCACGTGACCTCAAAGTGCACCTAGCCTGGCACAAAGCGCCGTGGTGATGTCATTGCCACTTAATGGCAAATGGTCGCTGTTGTTGTGCGAGCGTGTGTGTGTGCGCGAGTGTGTGTGAAAGTGAGTGTGGCTGTCAGTGAAAATGAGTGTGTGGTGTAGCCCTGTAACTGTGTGTGTAGTAGTGTGTGTGTGTAGCCGTTTAACAGTTTTTGTAGCTGTGTGTATAGTTTTTTTTGTAGCGTTAATCGTTTAACGTTTTCCTTGGCAGTTTGTTTGATACACGTGTTTCCGTTCGTGTGCCTTTGAGCTAACACTTGCATCTGTATATTTGTATTATTTGTGTCCCTGTTTCTGTAGGTGTATCTGTGTGCTTGTGTTCGTGCCTGTTTATGATTATTTGTGCGTTGTTACTTTATGTATTGTACTGTGTACTGTAGTGTTTAGTACATTCTATTGTAGATTATTGTACAGTGTTCATTAGTGTGTGGTGTACTGTCGCGTGTGGTGTACTGTAGCTTGTATAGCGTAGTGTGGTATACTTTGCTTTCCCACCTGATGATGGACGCTTGTGTTGCGCCAGAAACGTCGTGATTTATTTTATTTTATACCTATGTCACTTTACCGAAAAAACCAAAGACTATTTGACCATGTAGTTTGATAATCTTTCCATTTGGTACAGAAATTTCCATTTTGTACAGATACAATGGTAGGCTGATTGATGCCCGGTTCCGTCGGGGATAGCTCCCTATTGGTCAACCATGTTATGTATTCTGGTAATCTGGTGATTGCTGCTCACTCAGAGGAGGAGTTGGAGGTGCTGCTGCTGAATCTGGAGCGTGCTATGAATTGGTGAGGTCTTTACCATCAGCCCTATGAAAACTAAGCACCTGCCTGGGTTTTTTGTACCATCAAACACTCAACTCTCTCATCTCAACATTGGTGATCGAGGAGTTGTGGAGTGAGTGGTGAGTTTTCATACCTGGGCAGTGTGCTTATGACCAGCTCCAGTTGGACAGCAGAAGTCTCACTCCAAATTAGTCGGGCAGCATTATCGGCCACATTCATGCCCCCCCCTTCTCTATGCTTGTGAAACGTGGACCCCTCTAATGGAACATTTACGCCGGTTATAAACATTCAGGCTGGTCTGCCTACGATCCATCCTAGGTTTAACCAAGCTGGATTGTGTTGAGCTCTCAAATTCTTGAAAGATCTGGACACATTTCCCTCATAGAGCTCCTCCTGCAGGTAAGGCTGCGTTGACTGGGTCATGTAGCTTGCATGCCCAACCACCACATGCCCAAGCAGCTTCTGTTTGGCCAGATACAGGGGGCCAAACAGGCATGACATGGGCTGGAAAATAGATTAACTTATGCGGTACATGAGGATGTGGAGCTGAGTGGACTTGCTGAAGACTGGTACTAGCGATGTCAAGATCGACCTCTATGGAGGATGCTCGTGAAGGATGCTACCTGGCATTTGGAGGCAGTCGCCCTCCAAAAACAACAGAGGGCAAAAGAGTGATGCTCACAACAATGAGTGGCACGCCCGGCGGCTGCCATGCAGCCGCTTCACTTTCCGCGGTGGAAAACAATTTCCCGCCGGAAATGACGTTCGAGCGATACCATGCGACCTTAAATGTATACATGGGTCGTGATTCATCGTCAAAACAACGATAAATGGGCCAACGTTAAGCGAGGAGCGACTGTATCTGCCAATCATCTCAGTCAACCCATGGCATCTGGATCTGTCCCGTGACCTCTTGTCAGCAAGCTTTCGACACTTCACGTGGCCTCAGAGTGCACTTGGTCTGACACAGGTGCAGTGGTGACGTCATCGCCACTTAGTGGCGAATCGCGGGTGTTACTATGTTTGCATGTATGAGCATTTGTGTTTGCAAGCTAATGTGTGTGTGTGTGTAAGAGGGATCATGTATGTGCATGACTGCCTGTGCCTGCATAACGCTGTCCTCATCTGGCGCCGATACCAGGGCATGGCGTTCACAATCGCAGAGCGGCAGATCCTCGGCCTGCAGGGTCTCATCCCCCCGAAAGTCGAGAGCCAGGATATCCAGGCTGATCGCTTTAAGGAGAACTTGGCTGGACTCTCTGAGCCACTGCAGAAGTAAGTCCAAAGCCTGCTCCTTGTCTGCCCGTCTGCCCAACCCCCCGCCCGCCCACCCACCCGCCCGCTTGCTCCATCGCTTGCTGGCCTGCTCGGCCACACGCTGCTGCTGCTGCTGCCGGCCCCAGCACACACTTCATGTGCAGAAGGCTCCTGATGACAAGTAGGAGGAAACAGGAGCACCCGGAGATAACCCACAATGACGAGGAGGAAACACTCTGTCCTTGTACAAATGGAAACAGATGGTAATTAGTCTACTTGCAGAACTGCCTTCTCCTGGCAAGCCAGGGTATGGCACCTATTTGGTCCCCCTTGGGAAGGGAATTTTAAAAACATCTGTGTGCGATCCACCAATGCTCGCTGCCTCCACCGTGCTAGATCACAGGCCACGTCCAGCGTCGCCACCATCACCACCACTCGGTTTAGCTGTGTATGATTCCTCACCGTTCACACACCGGTCGTTTATGGTTCATGCAAATTGAATGCAGTCGTTCGATTTAGGCCAACGGGCGGAATGAGGCCGAACGGGCATCACGGTAGACCGAAGAGACACAGTGGAATTTCCGTCGCAGCTGAACTGGGGCCCCGCGTGGCGGCGGTTCACGGAATGGCACCGGATTGCCACCAGCCTGCACTGTGCACCATGCGCAGATGAACGCTGGCCTTGCTGCTCCACTCTCATCAGCAGCACCACTGCCTCATCACTCAACTAATCGTGGTGTTGGCTGCGGTGTGTATGACGTCACTTTGTGTTTTCACTCCACCGTGTGTGATGTAGTGTGTGTGTTAATACTCGTGGTTTAGTGGTAATTAGATCTGGGCACGGTCCCATCGGTGAGCTCCTCCGGCAGGCAAGGCTGCGTTGGCTGGGCCATGTAGCCCGCATGCCCAGGCACCGCATGCCGAAACAGCTTTTGTTTGGCCAGATCGAGGAGGCTAAACGGGCGCGGCACAGGCTAGAGAAGAGATGGAGTGACGTGGTACAGGAGGACGTGGAGCTGAGTGGACTTGCCGATGACTGGTACCAGCGGTGTCAAGATCGGCCTCTGTGGAGGAGGCTCGTGAAGGACGCTACTGGGCAGTTGGAGGCAGTCGCCCTCCAACAACAACGGAGGGTGGAGAAGCAATGCTCACAACAACGAGCGGAGTGCCGGGTGGCTAAAGCACAGCAGGTTGGCACAGTAGGGGGCACAAGTGGTGCATCAACCAATCATCTCAGTCAGTCGACCCGTGGCACCTGGGTCTGCCCCGTGACCTCCTGCCAGCGGGCGTTCGACACTTCACGTGGCCTCAAGGGACACATGGCCTGGCACAAGCGTCGTGGTGACGTCACCGCCACTTAGTGGCGAATGGCGGTTGTTGTGTTAATACTACGGTGTGTATTGACTGCACTGTGTGGGACGTGTGTAGGTACATCTACGTGATGGGCATACAGGAGCGGAACGAGAAGCTCTTCTATCGCATCCTGCAGGATGACATTGAGCACCTGATGCCAATTGTGTACACGCCCACTGTGGGGCTCGCCTGCTCGCAGTACGGCCACATCTTCCGCCGGCCAAAGTAAGACACCCCGCCTGCTCACCTCTGAGATCTGACCCCTGAAACAGATCTGCATGCAGGGGTCTGGTGGCTTGGTGGCAATGTGGCTGGGTGGTGACATGGCAGGCTGGAGTCGTAGCGGCATGGCAGGGTGGCAACGTGGCAGTGTAGGGTTGTGGCAGGGTGGCGACGTGTCAGGGTGGAGTCGTTGTGGCGTGGCAGGGTGGCGACGTGGTATGGTGGTGATGTGGCTAGGTGGCGATGTGGCCAGGGTGGCGACGTGGTAGGGTAGAATCTTGGCAGGGTGGCGGTGGAAGTGTGGCGTCGTGACAGGGTGGCATCGTAACAGGGTGATATGGTGGCAGGGTAGGATCATAGCAGGGTTGCAACGTGGCAGGGTAGGGTCATGGCAGGCTTGGGGGTGACACCCTGGACAGCCTTGCCAGTGAGATTCTTCATCGTGAGGGTTTGCCAGGGGAACTCAAAGATCAAAACAAATCAATACTTAAGCTCCTGTTGTGTCCACCAAATCGCGTATGTTTCAAAATTAGTTATGTACACTTCATGAAAATGATGCAACTTGAGACTCATAGGGGTTTCCCTTCTGAACAGATGAGACTTGCGGTACCGATGAGTGGTATGGTGATTGTAAAACTTGTGTGTTTTGCAACTAGTTGGCCTTTGGCCGCTTCCGCACCATTACATTTGTATTGTCTGCTGCACTTTTTTGACTCTTTGCTTTCATTTCCATAAATTAACAGGGAAGTTCAACTTCTGTAACCCCACCCCTTCCTCTAGAGATGGGCTTGGGCTGGTGTGGGCCTGGTATGGTGCTGGCTTGTTTAAAGGCAGCGCTACCACATTTCCCCGTGAGATTTGGCAACACTGATCTAAAGCTATGGCAGTTTGAGAGGCAACATGAGTGGGGTAGTGGTGGGGTTTGTGGCAGCGCAGCACTACGGGGTACGGGGGGCAAGGACAATGGGGGTTAAGGTTGGGGTGCTGTGACAGCCACGACACAACTCCTTCTATTGGGCACATAACCTAAGGTACGGGAATGCAGAGCAGCAAACCCTGTGTGCCAGAGGTCGGCTTTGCAAGACATTCTTAACAGACTTGTGAAACACCCTCCAAGTGGCATTGGTTTAGTCACCTACACATGAGGGGACCACGCACCCCTGCATGCTGCACTGTGAGATCGGTGTTTTGCACGTGGAAGTCCGGCTGAGGTTTTTAATGACCAAAGCTCAAGTTGAACCACATTCAGTGGTCACCCACGTTCCCGTCATCATCCCTGGTTGACTGGGAAACGGTTTCATTGAGCAGGGCCAAAGCCCAGATTCATGCCAGGATCTAATTGTCAGTGGCGCTATCTTGGCCCTCTGACGTCTCAGCCACTTGGCCATCTGGGCAATGAACTTATTGTGAGTGGATATGCGGGATTAGCAGGTGAGCGTTACCGTGGTGGTGGTGGTGGTGGAGGAGCGACAGTTGAATCGCCGCACCCTGGGTAACCTGAGTAATGGCCCACGTGTTCACTTTCCCACAGGGGTCTATTCATCAGTATCAACGACAAGGGCCATGTCCGTTCTGTCCTCGACAACTGGCACCGGCCCGAAGTTAAGGTAACACAAGCGATGGTGGTGGTCATGGTGGTGATGGTGATTATGGTGGTGGGGGTGATGGTTATGGTTGTGATGATGGTGGTTATGGTCATATTGGGGGTCATTATGGTGGTGAGGGAGGTTATGGTGGGTTGCGGTGGTGGTGGTTATAGGGGGAACGGTGGCACAGTGGTTCGCACGCTGTGCTCGAACCCGACAACCCGAGTTTGATTCCCGCTCACGGTCAACACCAGTTGCGATTATCTGAACTGTTCTTTGGCCTCCCCTATGTCGACTCAGCTTCATAAGTGCTCACTAACAGCACTTTCCCCGAACATTCTATTTAGGCTATATGGGGGTCTTTCTTTGTCTCTAGCCTGGCATAGGTGATGTGGTTGTTATGTGTGTGTCTGTGTTCGTTTTTGTATCTGTGTAGTGTATTGTACACTGGTGCGGGGTGCAGTGCGGTAGTGTGAAGTTATTCGTACGGTGGTTTTATGCTTGCAGTGTGTGTGGTATGTTGTGAATGTGGTGGTGTGTGTATTGTGGTGTATGGTGCAGTGTTTGGGTGTGTGACGTGGAGTGGGGGTGGGATCGGTGGGGTAGATCTGGTGGAGGTGACGGTGAGTGTGGGTGAGCAGGGGGTGTGTAAGTCTTTCAATATGTGAATGTAGTTATTGAGCTGTGGGGAGCGGGCGTGCAGTGGGTTAGCGCGCTGCGCCACGAACCCAAATTACCCGAGTTCGATTCCCGCTAACGGCAAACATCGGTGATGAATATTTGAACCGATCCTGGGCCTCCCCTTGGTCGACTCGGCCTCAAATGAGTACCTGGTGTGGTTGTGTAAACATCGCCACTATGGAGACAAAGGCGTGGTGCTGGCCACCCACCTCCTCGTGTGCCATTCCTGCCTTCATAGATTTTTGCTAACAGCACTTGCCCCAAGTCTCTTTTAAGGCTATACAGAGGAATTTTGTATGTAGTTAGATCAGTGTGTGCGAGGGGCTGGTAACCCCCTCCACCTGGAACTATTTTTGACCTAATACCACGGTGGAAACATCAAACTAAGCTTGCGGTGGAGATTCCCAGAGGGATAGGTATTCACAACACCTTCTGGCAAAACCTCTCTTGCCGGAGCCAGACTTTACCCCTCCTAGGGATTTTTCAATAAATACCAGAACACTGAGGTTGGCCACGTGGAATGTTCGAACTCTCGCTGCAGAGGAGAGGCTGCCATTCTTCTTTCAGGAGATGGACTGGTACTACTTGGAACTCTGGAATACAGGAGGTCTGGAGGAATGGTTCTGGCTCCAGTCACCACGAGGGGTGGACAGTCCTCCGCCCGGGGCAGGAAACTGTGAAACAACAGGGAGTGGCATTGCTTTAAAAAAAAAGGAATGAACGGGGTGTGGGAGCGTGGAGGCAAGTTGTGGAAAGCTGTGAGTCCCAGGCTGCTGTGTGCTCGTCTCCCATCAAGAACCGGAGAGGAATGGTGGTGGTGGTTGCTTAAGCCCCCACCGAATATGAACATCACAGGAGGGATGCAAGCAAGACTAATGAGTGCGATGCCTTCTATATCCTCCTGTCCTAGGTACTAGCTAAAGTGAATAGAGTCATGCTCTTGGGTGATTTTAATGCCCAAGTGGATCATGATACAGACACCTGGGCTGGAGTGATTGGAAGGCATAGGCTCGATCAGTTCAATAATAACAGTAGCGGGCTGCTAGACTTTTGTGCAGCCCATGGGCTTGTAATTTCCAACATGCTGTTCCTGCATCCATCGGCACAACCACACAACATCATGGATGCATGTCGGGTCCAAGCAATAAAATCTGCTAGACCAGTTGTCCCCAACCTTTTTGGCACCAGGGACCGGTTTCGTGGAAGACAATTTTTTCACGGACCGGGCGGGGGGGTTTCATCATTGGGTCTCTCCCCCTTTTAAAAGAAGCTCTCCAGCGACATTTGTTTTTTACTCATTTTGGCTCGGGGGTTAGCTTGTGGACTTACCAACACTGACTGAGACAAGTGCGCAGTGCGGGAAAGAGGCGCGGACGGAAGTGGTAAATAAAATAATGGGTGGGCCACGCGCGGACTCACCGCTCACTTCCTGCTGTGCGGCCCGGTTCCTAACAGGCCACGGACTGGTACCGGCCCGGGGGTTGGGGACCCCTGTGCTAGACAATAAAGTGACCGAATGCGAGCTCATGTCATTGACACCAGGACCTATCGTGGAGCTGATCTGCCCACTTACCATCGGAATGTCATGTGTAAGATGCACCTGCCATTCTTCCACTGCGGTAGTCGGTGTCCACCTAGGACCCCATTCAAGCCCACAGTAGCAACTGGAAATTTCAACATCGCTTGCAGGTGGGGTTGGTATCATCCCCCCCCTCCTGATGCTGAGGGAAATGGGTGAGGTTTAGCACTGGCTCATGTCGGCATTGGTTATACAGCAAGTTGGCACAGTAGGGGTCACAGCCGGTGCAGCTTCCAATCATCTCAGTCAGTCAACCCATGTCACCTGGGTCTGTCCTGTGACTTCCTGTAAGCGAGCATTTGCACTGCATGGGGCCTCAAGGTACATCTGTTCCTGGCACAGGCGCCGTAGTAATGTCATCGCCACTTAGTGGCGAATGGCGGCTGCTGTTATTGTTAATGGTGGTGGGGGTGTATCTCGAGGGTGGTGGGGTGGATATCATGGTGGTGGTAGTGGTTATGGTGGTGGTTATAGTGCTTGTTATGGTGGTGGTGTTGGGATATGGTGGTGATGATGCAAGTGGTTATGGTGGTCATGGTTTTGGTGGTTACGGTGGTGGTCGTATTGCTGAATGCTATTTAATCACCTTTTTCCCATCATCATCGTGGTTGTTCTCGGCCGTATGGTGGCGGCAGGCAATCGTGGTTACGGACGGCGAGCGCATTCTGGGCCTGGGAGACCTGGGTGTGTACGGAATGGGAATCCCCGTGGGGAAGCTCTGCCTCTACACAGCCTGCGCCGGCATCCGCCCCGAGTGCTGCCTGCCGGTGTGCATCGACGTGGGCACTGACAACGAGGTGTGTGGGGGGTGGCACTGGGGGGGGGGTGGGACTGGGGGAATGTGGGGGGGTTGCGCAGGGCGGGCGTGCAGATGGAGACGTGTGAGAGACACAGGAGCTGGAACTTGGGGCAATGTGGGGGGGCAAGGGACTTAGGGGGTTTGGGTTAGGGCTGTAGTTGGGGTTATAGTTGAAGATAGAGTTGAGGATAATGTTAGTGTGAGAGTTGGGGAGTGTTGATAGAGTCTAGATTTGAAGCTTTCGTGACTGCAAGGATTCATACTCTTTGGTTTTTTCGGTAAAGTCACGTAGATGAAACAAAATCAAAATAAAAGAAAACAACTAAATCAAATCACAAATCTGATTTGTGCTCGCGAATTCGGTCAGAAATATGTCGTTTCGTCTCCCCGATATAGCAGTCACCGCAGATACAACTCAATTTGTAAACACCGGGGTACTGTTAAGTCAGGAATGACATCCTTTACAGATGGGATCAGATCACAGATTTTGTGTATTGTATTGAACCGAACCTGGATCTCGTGTTTGTTTAGAATTTTGGAAATCCTTTTGGTGACGCCTGCTATGTATGGCAGTGTGATGATTTTGATCGGAGTGTCAAGTGGTTGCTTCTGTATGGTAGGAGAAAGAGCTTGGCGGATGATACGGTCAGAGTAACCGTTCATCTTGAGGGCTAGATGTACATGTTTCAATTCACTGGTCAGGTGGTGTTGGTCAGAAATGCAATGAGCTCTATGGTATAATGTTTTGATGAGATAATTCTTTTGAGCCGGGTGGTGGTGGGAATCAGGCTTGAAGTAGAAATCTGTGTGGGTGGACTTCCTGTAAACAGAATGTCCCAAAGAGCCATCAGTCCTCTCAAACAGAACATCCAAGAATGGCAGCTTGCCATCTTTCTCCACTTCCATGGTGAATTTGATGGATGGGTGTCTGGAATTGATGTGGTCTAGGAAATGGTTCAAAGCTGGGAGGCCATGTGGCCAAATGACGAAAGTGTCATCCACATATCTCTTCCACAGGGAAGGATGAAGGGTGGATGTCTGGATGGCGTCTGATTCAAATTTCTCCATGAAAACATTGGCTATCACTGGTGACAAGGGGGAACCCATAGGGGTACCCTCATTTTGTTTGTAGAAGGTGCCATTTCAGGTAAAGTAAGTGTTGGTGAGGCAGTGCCTAACTAGCGCAGGTACATCAGGGTTCAGTCCATGTTGGACCAAATCCTCAATTATTGTTATGGTTCTAGATTTGAAGCTTTCGTGACTGCAAGGATTCATGCTCTTTGGTTTTTTCGGTAAAGTCACGTAGGTAAAATAAAAATAAAATAAATGAAAACGACTGAATTAAATCATGACGTTTCGGAGGCAACACAAGCTTCCGTCTTCAGGTGGAACAGTCACAGCAAAATCAACTTTGCTGTAACTGTTCCACCTGAAGACGGAAGCTTGTGTTGCCTCCGAAACGTCGTGATTTAATCTAGTTGTTTTCATTCATTTTATTTTTATTTTACCTATTATGGTATCAGGTACCTTGGTAAACAGAGAAACAACATCAAAGCTGATTAGGATATCGTCAGGAGATAGTACAATGTCTTTGACCATACATACCAATTGGGTTGAGTTAAGTACTGCTAAGGTAGTCTTGCCATTGAAGGGGAGCAGAGTATCCAACAGAAAACGGGCTAGCTTGTAGGTAGGGGAGTTGTTCGTGGACACGATGGGTCGTAGTGGGCTACCTTCTTTATGGATCTTGGGAAGACCATAGAATCTGGGAAGTCTTGCAGCGGAGGGTTTTAGGGAGGGACGTTTGGTTGGTTCGATTAGGGAAGTCGAACTAGTGATGATCTTGTTGGTTTTTATCGTTAGGCTGTTAGTAGGGTCATTTTTAATTTTTGAGTAACTCCCATCATTGAGTAGGTCCTGGATTTTGTTGTTGTACGAGTTTTTATCCATAATGACAGTGGCATTGCCCTTGTCGGCCGAGAGGATGACTATATCATCCCTCTTTTTTAAATTCGCGAGTTCGGAGCGTTCGTTTTTGCTAATATTGCTGATGGGTTTCTTAGCATTCTTGAGAATAGTGGCTATTTCAGCTCTTGTAACGTCAGCTTGGATGTGTCCTATGCCTTTGAGGGCTACATCGACCTGAGAGATGATATCCTCTGCTGGTATATGTTTAGGGGTGACAGCGAAATTTAGCCCTTTAGCCAGTACCATTTTCAGATTGTCCGAAATCGGGATGTTACTCTGATTAATAACGAGTTTGTTAACATCCAGTTTTGTGATGTGTGATTCTGGCCTGTTCTTTGATAGGAGGTTGAATTTAGCGATCAGGTTAGCTTTTCATTTGACTGACAGTGAATCAGCAGAGGCAGCAGTCATGTTGTCAACGTGGTTCCAATCAGAAGGGGACATTTTTTGTGTTAACATTAAATGTGATTGTAGGAGAGTCCTGTCTAAACTATCGAGTTCAAATCGGAGTACTCTTATTCTCTCTGAGATTAGTAATAGGCTAGCATTAAACAGAATCCGTTTAGAGTTCGGTGAAGATACAGCAGCAGATGTGAGTGTGAAAGCGATGGGTATTACCTTGTTATCGCGGCATCTTTTGAGGAACGTTAGCGTCTCGATGAGCTGTGACTTCTTATCTCGTTGTCTGTTGAAAGCTCTAACAGATAGGTGAAAACCCTCTCCGTAGAGGTAATTAATTCTAGATTTGAAGCTTTCGTGACTGCAAGGATTCATACTCTTTGGTTTTTTCGGTAAGTCACGTAGATAAAACAAAATCAAAATAAAAACAACTAAATCAAATCACAAATCTGATTTGTGCTCGCGAATTCGGTCAGAAATATGTCGTTTCGTCTCCCCGATATAGCAGTCACCGCAGATACAACTAAATTTGTAAACACCGGGGTACTGTAAGTCAGGAATGACATCCTTTACAGATGGGATCAGATCACGGATTTTGTGTACTGTATTGAACCGAACCTGGATCTTGTGTTTGTTTAGAATTTTGGAAATCCTTTTGGTGACGCCTGCTATGTATGGCAGTGTGATGATTTTGATCGGAGTGTCAAGTGGTTGCTTCTGTATGGTAGGAGAAACAGCTTGGCGGATGATAGGGTCAGAGTAACCGTTCATCTTGAGGGCTAGATGTACATGTTTCAATTCACTGGTCAGGTGGTGTTGGTCAGAAATGCAATGAGTTCTATGGAATAATGTTTTGATGAGAGAATTCTTTTGAGCCGGGTGGTGGTGGGAATCAGGCTTCAAGTAGGAATCTGTGTGGGTGGACTTCCTGTAAACAGAATGTCCCAAAGAGCCATCAGTCCTCCTCTCAAACAAAAGACATTGTACTATCTCCTGACGATATCCTCATCAGCTTTGATGTTGTTTCTCTGTTTACCAAGGTACCTGATACCATACAGAAGCAATCATCTTAACTCAACTTTGCTGTGACTGTTCCACCTGAAGACGAAAGCTTCTATTGCCTCAGAAACGTCGTGATTTAATTTAGTTGTTTTCATTCATTTTATTTTTATTTTGCCTACGTGACTTTACCGAAAAAACCAAAGAGCATGAATCCTTGCAGTCACGAAAGCTTCAAATCTAGAACCATAACAATAATTGAGGATTTGGTCCAACATGGACTGAACCCTGATGTACCTGCGCTAGTTAGCCACTGCCTCACCAACACTTACTTTACCTGAAATGGCATCTTCTACAAACAAAATGAGGGTACCCCTATGGGTTCCCCCTTGTCACCAGTGATAGCCAATGTTTTCATGGAGAAATTTGAATCAGACGCCATCCAGACATCCACCCTTCGTCCTTCCCTGTGGAAGAGATATGTGGATGAAACTTTCGTCATTTGGCCACATGGCCTCCCAGCTTTGAACCATTTCCTAGACCACATCAATTCCAGACACCCATCCATCAAATTCACCATGGAAGTGGAGAAAGATGGTAAGCTGCCATTTTTGGATGTTCTGTTTGAGAGGAGGACTGATGCCTCTTTGGGACATTCTGTTTACAGGAAGTCCACCCACACAGATTCCTACTTGAAGCCTGATTCCCACCACCACCTGGCTCAAAAGAATTATCTCATCAAAACATTATACCATAGAGCTCATTGCATTTCTGACCAACATCACCTGACCAGTGAATTGAAACATGTACATCTAGCCCTCAAGATGAACGGTTACTCTGACCGTATCATCCGCCAAGCTGTTTCTCCTACCATACAGAAGCAACCACTTGACACTCCGATCAAAATCATCACACTGCCATACATAGCAGGCGTTAGCAAAAGGATTTCCAAAATTCTAAACAAACACAAGATCCAGGTTCGGTTCAATACAGTACACACAATCCGTGATCTGATCCCATCCGTAAAGGATGTCATTCCTGACTTAACAGTACCCCGGTGTTTACAAAATGAGTTGTATCTGTGGTGACTGCTATATCGGGGAGACAAAACGACATATTTCCGACCGAATTCGCGAGCACAAATCAGATTTGTGATTTGATTTAGTTGTTTTCTTTTATTTTGATTTTGTTTCATCTACGTGATTTTACCGAAAAAAACAGAGTAGTGTTGATAGAGTTGGGGTTGGTTATGGTTATAATTGGGGATAGAGTTAGGATTAGGTTTAGAGTTGTAGTTAGGGTTTGAGATGGAGTTGGCTTTAAGGTTGTTGTTAGTTTTTGGGTTAGGGATTACAGGAGCGTTAGAGCGCCATGAGAGAATAAATTGCAGACCCCTATGTGTAGTAAGGGCCCCTGTGTGTGTGGTGACGGACATGGTTTGATCTTGCAGTCCCCGTCACGACACGTGCGAAATTATTTTGTACACACTGCAGCTTGCTAATGTATTTGCCAGACGTCCCGCACAGTAGTAATTTGCAATAATCAAGCCTTGTCGATACTATGCTACATGCCACTGTGTTGGCTATGTCACAACTCAATAGTTGCCGAATGTGTCGTAGAGCCTTGATATGAAAATGGCAGGATCTGACGATATTTTGCACGTGGTGATCAAATTACATTCTGGTTGAGTATGGTGCCGAGGCTCTTTAGATGAGTATAAAACTGAATCCTGGAGTCTGCAACTGCTACTCCTGCTGCTCCCACATTTTTTCTCACCTGAGCCCAAGTGTCAACCAACAAAACCTCCGATTTTCCTGGATTAAGCAGCATTTTTTATCATGCTAACCACACGGGCACCGCTCGCGTGCAATCTTCAAGCTTACCGCGGCTTTCCATATCTAACTTTGACTTCACTGCGGTGTACAATTGTCTATCATCAGTATATCGATGGAACCTGATGTCTTGCAATGAGATGACATCGGCCATCAGGGAGATATGTTGAAAATAGAAAGAGCCCGAGGACGGACCCCTGTGGTACACCATCTAGGCACGGCATAGGCGATGTCTCTTCATCACCCATCTTAATAAGTTGTGATCGACCATGGAGGTATGACTCAATCCACCCCAGTAACATACCTGATACACCGAACCTTGACCTTAGCCACCCGATGTGTATCTCATGGTCGATGATGTCGAAGACTGCTGAGAGATCGAGGCCAACCAATGCTGTGGCGTACCGGTTATTCGTAATCTTGTAGAGGTCATCATTGATCTTTATCAGAGCTGTCTCATTGCTGTAGAACTTCCGTGTAGGCCGACTCTAATGGGTTGAATCTGCTCGTCGCACATAATCAGGTTTGAGATCGGGCAATAGTTTGCGGGGTCACTGGCTCAAGCCAACTTTTTTCAGGAGCGGTGTTATCTGTGTAGTGAGTCCAACTGAGTCGCAGACGTTGTCTTGGGAGCAACACTATTTATTACATCAACTCAACACAACATAACGTAACCTACACTCGGGTGTTGAACGCCCATCTAACCACGCTACGGCAGAACTAGACACGGTCCCGCTATCCCGGTCCGAACCACGAGCTGGGTCCCGACCGCGTGGCTTGAGGCTTCTTCAACCTGACGTGGATCTTCACTCACCAACAGTCAAGAACCCCGAGCCCCACACGGGGGCCCCCGTTATATCGGCCCGGGCTGGGGCTGGGTCCGCCTCTCGCCCCGCCCACCTTCTCGATCTCTCTGGCCTTTTCCCGAAGGCTTCCAAGAGCTCTTCTATACCACGTGACCATCCAGCGGCCCCCGTCCACCAGTGGCCCCCCTCCAATATCATCCGGTCACGTGTCGGCAGGTCAACCAGCGTATCATGCCCCAACGTAACCCTGGCTGGCTGACACTCTCTCTTTCCCTGACCGGGAGTCCGCACCGCACACTGTATGTGGTGCCTCTGCGCTGACCAGCGCTCACCCAAGCCCCGCTCAGGCTGGTACTATGCCCAGTAACCGGGCTGCACATAATGACAACATATCCGCCGTAGCCTCGCAAGCCCGGCACCACACAGTTACATTCACAGTCACTACACCTGTGCCAATTTTAACCTGTCTGGGAAACAGCCCTGGCTGAGTGAAAGATTTGCCAGGTGGACAATCAGCGGCGCAAGCATGATTTGAGAATCGATGTGTGGATGTAGTTGAACGGCGAAGTCTTATTTGGCAACCGTGCAATGAACATTGACACCTTTGTCACTGACATTGGTGCCAGGGTATCGAGTTTTGCATTGGTTCAAGTTTGATCAAAGTCATATTGCAGACCAGGAGAATGTATTGCCTTCAAGTTAGAAACTACCGTCTTATCGTGGCTTTTTTTATTGGCGAAAAACGTTGCAAGTACTGTGCACAGACCGGTTTGACAAGTTGATGGGTGATTGGAGTGCAGCAGAACCTTCACTACGTACAGCAGAACACAGCGGTCTCGAACCGACTCATTGATGTGCAGAGCATAGAACGATCTGCGAGACTCAATAATGAGTCGGTTGGAAGATCTGCAGGCGGCTCTGTAAGCGAGTTATACAGTCTCGAAACCAGCCTCCTCCGGGTATGTTTCACTGCGATTTTCTCCGGTGACAGCTAGTTACTGCGCACTTTTTTCCCCGTTCTCTTTGTGCTTGTTCTGATGGGCACCAGTTCATCAAGAACAGCAGTGATGTCACTTTATAATTGAGCTGCAAATTAATCGACAGTCGATGCAGAATTTATAAACACCGATGATGACCGGATCTTTTGATGGAAAGCATCGTGGTCCAGTCGTTTGCAGCCTCTGTATAATATCGTTGTGACGTGTGGGCGAATAATCGGTAATGCCACTTTAGGTTGTCACGAGACTGTGATCTGAAATACGTCTTCGATAACTACGTTGGTCACAGCTATGGCATTGGTGGATGTGGAGATGTGATCCAGTATATTTCCCGAGCGACATGTTGCGTCAATGACATGTTGGGTTCAACTTTGACTGTCGATAATCTCGGCGAGATCACTGTACCGGTCGGTCCAGGACAGTTCAGATCACTACAGTTGATGTAGTGAGAACCAAATGACCCACAGTCTAGCAGACCAGAAATCTCGACAAAGAATTCCGACAGCGGTGAAGACGGCGGTCAATAGATGACAGCAATTGTAAGCCCCCGATGCAAGGAATGGTCCTTGCAAGCTTTGACATCAAGTCATTATTTCAGACTATGTCGTAGGTTGATGACAAGTCCACAAAAGCTGTGCCGGTCTTCCTCAAGAGTGATGGGGCAGTTTTGGAGAAAGTGGATAATTTTCTGTACTTAGGCAATGTGCTTATGGCCAGCTCCGGTTTAGCAACTGATGTCTCACTCCGAATCAATCGAGCGGCATTATATTTTCCTCAGCAGCATAACGTTTTGTGGAAGCTACCTGGCCTGTCATTCCATACAAAGCTCTGGGTTTTTTTGACCACAGTCATGCCCTCCCTTTATGCTTGCGAAATGTGGAGCCCTTTAAAGGAACATCTGTGCCGGTTTGAAACACTCAGGCTCGCCTACCTACGATCCATCCTGGGTTTAACCAAACTGGATTGTGTAAGAAGTTCACAGATCCTTGAAAAATCTGGATAAAGTCCCATCAGTGAGCGCCTCCGGTAAGCGAGGCTGCCTTGGCTGGGTCATGTAGCCCGCATGCCCAGCCACTGCATGCCCAAGCAGTTTCTGTTTGGCCGGATAGATAGGGCTAAATGGATGCGACACGGGCTAGAGAAGAGATGGACTGATGTGGTACAAAAGGATGTGGAGCTGATTGGATTTGCCGATGATTGGTACCAGTGGTGTCAAGATCGGTCTCTGTGGAGGAGAATTGTGAAGGACGCTACTGGGTAGTTGGAGGCAGTCGTCCAACAGCAACAATGGAGCGCAAAGGAGTGATGCCAGATAAAATGAAAAAGTTGGCCCAGTAGAGGGCACAGTAGTGGGGAGCACTGGTGGTGTATCTGCCAATCATTTCAGCCTGAACATGGCACCTGGGTCTGTTCTGTGACCTTACAGTAGGCCTTCTACACTTCACATGACCTCAAAATGCACCAAGCATGGCACAAGCGCCGTGGTGACATCACCACCACTTAGTGGTGAATGGTGGTTGTGTGTGGTGAAGACTCCTGTGTGTGCGGTGAGCACCGTGTGAGTATGTGTCTGGTGAGGACCCTGTGTCTGTGTGTGGTGAGAACCCGCCCCCCGTGTGTGTGGTGAGGACCCCCCCCCCCCGTGTGTGGTGAAGAACCCTTGTGTGTGTGGTGAGGAACCCTTGTGTGTGTGGTGAGGACCCTGTGTTTTTGTAGTGAGGACCCCGTGTGTGTGTGGTGAGAACCCCCCCCGTGTGTGTGGTGAGGACCCTTGTGTGTGTGGTGAGGACCCTTGTGTGTGTGGTGAGGACCCAGTGTCTGTGTGTTGAGGACCCCATGTTTGTCTGGGGAGGACTCAGGGGGTTTGGATTCGGGTTAGGGCTATATCTGGGGTTAGGATTAGAGTTTAAGATAGAGTTGAGGATAATGCTGGGGATAAAGTTGGAGATGGCGTTAATAGAGTTGGGGATAAACTTAGGGTTAGAGTTGGTTAGGGTTGGGGTTACGGTTATAGTTGGGGATAGAGTTTGGATTAGGTTTCGAGTTGGGGTTAGGGTTTGGGATTGAGTTGGGTTTAGGGTTGTTGCTAGTTTTGGGGTTAGGGGTTACAGGAGCGTTAGAGTGATGTAAGTGAGAAGAAATTGCAGACCCCTGTGTGTTGTGAGGACCCCTGTGTATGTGTTGAGGATCCCGTGTGTGTGGTGAGGACCCCTTTGTGTGTGGTGAGGACCCCGTGTGTATGTGGTGTGGTTCCCCGTTTGTGTGTGGTGAGAATCCGGTGTTTATGTGGTGAACACTTCATTTGTGTGTGGTAAGCACCCCTCTGCATGGTGTGGACCCCGTGTGTGTGTGTGGTAAGCACCCCCGTGTGTATGGTCACGCCCTGTGTGTATGCGGCGAGGACCCTGTGTGTATGTGGTGAGAACCTCGTGTGTGTGTGGTCAGGACCTCGCGCGTGTGTGGTCAGGACCTCGCGCGTGTGTGGTCAGGACCTCGCGCGCGTGTGGTGAGGACCTCACGTGTGTATGGCCAGGACCTCGTCTGATTGTAAGGACCCCTTTGTGTGACCCCAGTCCCTGCTGGAGGACCCCTTCTACATGGGGCTCTACCAGAAGCGCGACCGCTCGGAGTGCTACGATGAGCTCATCGACGAGTTCATGGAGGCCGTTGTCGAGAAGTGAGTCACGTGACAGCGACTTGCCTGGGGGAGCCGTGTTGGACAGCGAGAGTCATGTTGTACAGGGGGAGCCGTATTAGACAGGGCAATCTGTGTTGGATAGGGTCGAGCCATATTTGACAGGGACCTCTGTGTTGGGACAGGGGGATCTTTGTCGGACAGGGTGGAGCCGTATTTGGTGGGGGAATCTGTGTTGAACAGGAGGAACCGTCTTTGACAGGGTGAGCCGTATTTGACAGGGGGATCTGTGTTGGACAGGGGGAGCTATGTTAGACAAGGGGATCTCTTTTGGACAGGGGAGCCGTGTTAGATTGGGGAATCTTTGTTGGACAGGAGGAGCCATGTTGGACAGAGTGACCTGTGTTGGAGAGGGGGAGCCGCGTTGGAGAGGGGGAGCCGCGTTGGAGAGGGGGAGCCGCGTTAGAGGGCGGGAGCCGCGTTGGAGGGCGGGAGCCGCGTTGGAGGGCGGGAGCCGCGTTGGAGGGCGGGAGCCGCGTTGGAGGGCGGGAGCCGCGTTGGAGGGCGGGAGCCGCGTTGGAGGGCGGGAGCCGCGTTGGAGGGCGGGAGCCGCGTTGGAGGGCGGGAGCCGCGTTGGAGGGCGGGAGCCGCGTTGGAGGGCGGGAGCCGCGTTGGAGGGCGGGAGCCGCGTTGGAGGGCGGGAGCCGCGTTGGAGGGCGGGAGCCGCGTTGGAGGGCGGGAGCCGCGTTGGAGGGCGGGAGCCGCGTTGGAGGGCGGGAGCCGCGTTGGAGGGCGGGAGCCGCGTTGGAGGGCGGGAGCCGCGTTGGAGGGCGGGAGCCGCGTTGGAGGGCGGGAGCCGCGTTGGAGGGCGGGAGCCGCGTTGGAGGGCGGGAGCCGCGTTGGAGGGCGGGAGCCGCGTTGGAGGGCGGGAGCCGCGTTGGAGGGCGGGAGCCGCGTTGGAGGGCGGGAGCCGCGTTGGAGGGCGGGAGCCGCGTTGGAGGGCGGGAGCCGCGTTGGAGGGCGGGAGCCGCGTTGGAGGGCGGGAGCCGCGTTAGACGGGGATCTGCATTCGAAAGCTAACAAATTTGACCGAGATGTGAGTGGCAAAATGAGCGACTCGTTAATGAAACACGGCTTGCGGGACCCCTCCCTCCTACTCTCCCCTTCCTTCTCTCCCTTTTTTTCCTTGTCCCACGCAGGTACGGCTACAACACCCTGATCCAGTTTGAAGACTTCGGGAACCACAACGCATTCCGCCTCATGCGCAAATACCGCGAGAAATACTGCACCTTCAACGATGACATCCAGGGCACGAGTACCCACACCCCCACCGTCCCCCCCCCACCACCACTCCCCACCTCTGAGACCTGGCCTTGTGCCACCATTCCTGTCATCGGCGTTGAGGGACATCGACCGGCGGTGGTGATGGCTGTGCCTAGCGTGCCGCTGTATGTGGCGTGCGCTGATCCTGACTCGGTCTTCTCCTCACTCCCTCTCCTCCCGCGGTGCAGGAACGGCAGCGGTGGCACTGGCTGGGATGCTGGCAGCGCAGAAGGTGACGGGGACAACGCTGTCGCAGAGCCGCTTCCTCTTCCTTGGCGCCGGGGAGGTGGGGAGCTGGCCAGCGCACCAACACCCACACAAACGGGAGCACGCACAAACCAGTACATAACTACTACAGCCGCTAAGTTGTGCCAGGCTAGGTGCACTTTGAGGCCACGTGAAGTGTCGAAGGCCCGCTGGAGGTCAAGAGACAGACACAGGTGCTATGGGTTGACTGAGATGACTGACAGATGCACCACCTGTGCTCCCCACTTTGCCAACTTGCTGCGTTTTAGTCACCCAGCACTATGCTCGTTGTTATGAGTTTTGCTCCTCTGTCCTCTGTTGGTGTTAGAGGGCGGCTGCCTCGCAACTGCCCAGTAGCGTCCTTCACGAGCCTACGCTCTCTCACACGGTTGCTCGTTCCCTACTCCCCTCATCTCGCACAGGCGGCCACCGGCATCGCAAATCTAATCGTGATGGCGCTCACGGAGCAGGGCGTGCCACCCGTGGACGCATATGGGCAGGTGTGGATGTACGACAAGCACGGCCTCATGGTCAAGGTGAGGGCTGCACGCTCTTCTGCGCTCAGCAGAGCTCCCGTGGCGTGAGGGTCAATTACCATGAATGTCCATTGAGTGGTCTCGTGATCTTTGCAAGCTTCGTCATGGGTGGCGACATGGCCCGGTTTGAATCTTGACGGGCCTGCTTTAAACTTAGGATGCTAAGCAGAGTCTGCTTGCAGCAGCCGTCAAAGATCCTGTGATGTAATTCGAAGGGGAGTTTGGTCATTGTGTTCCGGCGTAATAGTCCAAACTTTTATACATTTTCTCAGAGCTGAAATATAGCCAAAAAAAGTGTTAAACAAAAAGCCAGACTCCACTGTTCTGAAGGAATGAACATTCCATATCCGCGCCAGTGCAAGATATCTCCATATATAACAGGCAAAGTTGTGAATGTGTCTGTTCAAAATGTTTAGCGTACTTCCCGACATGCAACAAACTGGAAATTTGCGATGTGGGTACTTTCCAGACTTACACCATGCAAAAATGATAAAAATAAACTTTTTTTAGGGGAGGGGGGGCTCAATAATGCATATATTTTTTGCACGGCAAGTGAGCTGTGACGTCAAATCTGTCACGTGACCCTCGCATGTGGAAGCGAAACGCATTGTAGTGTCGCGGTTAGCGCGCCGCGCTACGAACCCGGCGACCCGAGTTCGATTTCCGCTCACGGCCACCACCGGTGACGATTATTTTAACTGGTCCTGGGCCTCCTCTAGGTCGACTCAGCCTCAAACGAGTAACTGTTGTGGTGTGAACATCGCCACTGGGGAGACAAAGGCGGCCGGGTGTGGTAAATCCAAGTCCCGGGCTCAAAATGTCCCCCCCAATATTGCTATAAAAAAATTGCTATGCTATGTAAATAAAAACAACAATTTGCTAAACCTTGGCCACAATATCTGGACTTGTCTATTATGTAAAAACTTCATGCGGAAGCCCCGTTCTGTACACTAGCCCCGCATTGGGAAAACCTGCAGTTCTGCGGTGATTGTGGCCGCGGCACACTGCAGGTTGCAGTGCTCATTTAACCGCGATAGTCTGTGTTCGCCATAATTTATCGGTTACAGTACCTGCAGTATTGTGGTCTTTGACCGCGATACTCTACCCTACTGAACTGACTGTACCGTGATCTCTCAACCAAAGTAGTCTCAAAAGCCAGGCCCAGGATAATTGGCCCTTAAAGAGCCCCTCCAAGATGCGCCTGAGCAATTCCCGACCCAGCATTACTCCTGCGCAAGGTTGGAGAAAGAGGTTCCCCTAGGGCGACTCAGAAGACCCTGATCTGAGCAGCCAACTAATCTTGACTGGGATGGATTTCTTTTCGAGCTTGTACTTGTGGAGGCCAGGTTTAGGGCAGCCCTGTCCGGGTTGCCCCCCCAGGACTAAGTCAAAGCACCACAGGCACCCTTCCGGGTAATAATCATTATAATTTCCTTTTATACTGCATCATTCATGCAGTCGCATCCCACAACACTGCACATAAATTATCCATTTCCGTACAAGAAATACAAAACTAAAACCCCACTAATTAGCAAAAATAAATGAATACATAAATAATGAGAAAAAAATGCACGTAAGAAAAAAGAATCGCAGAGAAGCCTCGGGTGCAGTAGGGCTCGGAAGATGAAGGCTAAGGCTAAAGTTTCATCTTCATGGCAAGGGGTTTTTTATTCTTCAGATAGGTATCATAAATGATATTTAAAATATATTGCATCATTCATGCAAAATCCCACCGAATAGTGATTCTGAGGCTCCTTGTAATAATTATAATTACAGAAAATATATTTTTTGAACCATAAAAAATAACAATTGCCGGGGAACTCAGATTCGCAGGAATGTTCAGCCTCATCTTCCTCAGCCTTTGAGACTGGGGAGGATTTTTTTATCCACCACTTTATCCCTAGGGCTTGTGGCTCCTGACTTCAGTGGTCACGGAGGGCAAGTCCAAGAAAGACAAGGAGAGGAAGAAACAAACTTTCCCCCTTTAAGTGCCTCTGCTGAACTTCCGATTAGATGCTTCACGGTCGCCGAAATCAGTGGACTGGAGCTATGCTGTGTCCGAGGACCAGCGAGAGCAGCTATTAGTGGTTCTGTCACATTTTGCCTCATAAGCACGCTGCCTGGGAATACCCCTCTTTGGTTCTTCCTGACTCGGTGGACAACCCTGCTTAACAAGGAGGCCCAGAAGGCAGCCTCTCTGTCTGTCCAGGCCATGGTGTATGTAACATACAAGGAAACATTGGTCAGGTTTAAGTCTAAGGCCAATTATTAAGCTGGCCTTGACCTGGTTAATTGGAATGAATATGGTCGTCGTGATGACTGCAATTTATTCTCTTTTGCACATGCTGCAGACTATGAAGATCTCACTGGCTTGAGGGTCGGGTCCTTTTTGGGAAAAACCACCGAGGAGGCCTGTGCCCTCAAGGAGAGTGAGCAGCTGGAGAAGGCCATGGCCTACCTAGTTTTTTCATAGTACCCAGTCCTACATTCAGCCCTATGCCCACCAGTCTGATCAAAGAGGGGGTCAGCCCTTCTGGAGGGGTCGGGCCTTTGACAGAGAAACCCAGGGGTCTAGGTCGCTCCTCGCGTCGCGATGACAAGTCCTCTTGTCCCCCTGTCCTCTAACATTGAGGGGGGCCCTGAGGCGCTGGTAGCTCCAGTGCCTTCCCAGCTAGTGGGTCGTTTCTCTCATTCTACACTCAGGACAAGTAGGTCCTTGGCTTCTTGGAATGAGGCTGTGTTGGGAGTTCCATGGTCATCTCCGCGGGCCTCTCTGGGTCAACTCCAGTACACCACAGGCCCCTGCATTGACGCTGGCCTTGGAAACAGAGGTATCAAGGTTGCCCGACATGCGGGCGATTGTGAAGGTTTGGGCTGCCAATGATGCTTAGGCCATTCTTGCCGGCCACCACTGCTTTATGCGCTTTTGCGTGATGGGTCGTCACTGGCGTTTCCGCATCGTTCTCTTCGGCCTTATGTTCAATGGGGCTAATTGTCATTTGTCCCCCTTGCAATGACTCAAGCAACTGAGCGCTATTCTCGACATTGTCCAGGCTCGGGCTTTCATGACACCCGAGAAGGTAGCCACTATGCCAGGTCTGGTCTTTTTTCAGTTTTCCACTCATGGCGGCCCAGCCCGGTCTTTTCTGGTGCTCGTCGGCCAGCGTCACAGTCGACGTCCTCCCTTGGTCCGTCTACGCGTGCGAGCCCTCAATGGTCTTTTTGCTCAATAATAATAACAATTTCAATTTATAAGGTGCAATTCATCCAGGGATCTCAGTGTACCAAAGGGACCCTGTCTTGGGCACTATGGGCAATTTTGTGGCCCTCCAGACAAAGTCAGGGACCTCCACTGTTGGGCCCTTGCAGCCGATCTCAACCAGGGGGAGCCTCTGGGCTTCTTCAATGAGCAGCTTGTGGTCGAAACGAACGCCTGCCTGCTCAGCTGGGGTGCATTCTCTGAGGCTTAGGCAGTGCAGGGGCTGTGGTCTCCTGCAGACAAATGCCTCTCCATCATCAATGTCCTCGAGCTCCGCACAATTTGTTCAGCGCTGATCCAGCTGCGCTTAGTCATCTCGAGCAAGCGGCTAAGCAGGTAGTCCATAGATCCTAGTGAATGGTCTCTACACTCGGTGGTTTTTTGTCCACGCGTTAGCCGCTTCTGCTTGCCTGCCACCGACTGGGTTGCTGTGAACAATGCAAAGCTGCCCCATTATGCGTTGCACTACTTTGGCCCTGCGCTTTCGCCATGGATGCAGTGACATGCCATGGGGGCAGGGCCTGATCTATTGTTTGTCTTTTTTCCCCTGGTACCTAGGGTGCTCCAGAAGGTACAGGAGGGGGCTTACGCCGGTTCAGCAGGGTACACGGACATGATTTTATTGCTCCTCCTGTGTATTTTGTTTACCTTTATTCTATTTTATTTGTGATGTATAATTGGTTTTATACTTTATACGACAATTGTTTTATACTCTTCTTATTTTATTTATTTGTAGCTAAAATCATCTGCTTGCAGGTGTGGCCTTCCCATGTTGCTGCAACACACAGTCTGGACTCTCTTTGAGGGGCACCACGGTGATGAGATGTTAACTACCTCGCCTGGTATACAGGAGGTCGTGGGTTTGATCCCGACCCTGATGCCTGTATATTTGGAATTTCCATGTTCTCCCTGTGGTCACATGGATTTTTCTCCAGGTCCTCCGGTTTTCCCCTCCATACTTAAACATGTGTTTATAGTATTTAATTGATATAAATTTCTACATGATAAGCAACTTTAATGAGCTATCATTTGTGACCAGGTCACTTCTGCAAAAGAGCTATGTAGCTCAGTGTGCCTTACCTTGTGAAATAAAATACAGTGGTACCCCGGAGATCGAACTTAATTAGTTCCAGAAGGCCATTCGAACACTGATTTGTTCGAACACCGAATTAATGTTCCCAATAACAATTAATGTAAATGACATTTATTGGTTCCAGACACAAATCTCTCATTATAAAGCATTTTTACACGAAGTTTACAGTAATTACATGCATAAAATCATACGTAAAAACAAGAAAAACAATAAATGGAATAAATGAATAAATATATGGAATAAATTAAATAAATGAACATTGAACTTCACTTTACCTGTAGTAAGGAGAGTTGATGGCTTGAGTGGAAGGTGGTGAGGAGGAGGAGGTGGTGGTGTTATGCACGCTGGCCATACGCGTCTCAGCTGTACAGGTTCTTTCAAGTCGCGATTGCCCGTTCGACCTCCGAATTTCGTTCGGTTTCCGGGGCAATAAATGTTCGGAAATATTGTTCGAACACCGATTTGTTCGAGTTCTGGTGCGTTCGATCTCCGAGGTTCTATTGTAGTTTATTTGTACCAGCCCTAGTGAGACATTGCCTCACCAACACTGCACCTGGAATGGTACATTCTACAAGCAAGTTTAAGGTACCCCAATGGGTTCTCCCTTATCTCCAGTGGTAGCTAATGTTTTCGTGGAAAAATTTGAGA